TCTTCAATTTTCCGGCAATTCACTCGTCGGCCGCCTCACTCCGGCTGGAGGGTGCTGTGCGCGCGGCCGAAAATCCGCAAGCGACTGTGCTTGGCTAAGCTCACGTAAATGGGTTGAAAATGGCCATGATATATATATCATGTATGTATTTATTTATTTGTCTTGAACGCAGCGTTTTCATCATATTTTTTTCTTCAAAATAAAATCTGATTCCTTAGTTAATTGTGATTTCTCTGAGGTGAGGTCAATTTACTATAGTTTCAATTTTCACATAAATTGAGTTGAATATGGTGATTTTTTACCTTCAAAATGAAATCTGATTTCTCTTAGTTAATTTTAATTTCTCAGGCTTGTAGCATAGATTTGTGAATGTTGTTGCTCATTTTTTAGCTAGACATGCAACTAGTTCTTTATCCTCTATCTCTGTATGGAGTGAATTCTCTAAATTTTTTATCTCATTTAGTGCTGGACCATTTCCAGTAATTTAATGGTTGTTCTTTCAACAAAAAAATCTATATATATATATAATAAGAATTAACATTTACCAAAAATAGTAGCAAAAAAATAGGTCAAAATTTAATATAGTCTATAAATAGTAAGTTTCATTATTTTTCTTATTTTCTTCTTTAAAAATCATACAACATTAAATGCTACCTTAAATTTCGGGCTTTAGTTCATTTTATTATTTAAAAAATCCGGCAAAGATTTATTAAGTGTGTAAGTTTTTATTTTTATTTTTTTCTTAGAAACAACGAACAACATTAAAATCTCAATTCAAAATATAACAAAAACTTTAAAATCTCAGTCTTTATATTTGTGCCTTTAAAAAAAATATTGAACGCTAAAAATATTCTTTAAATTGAATAATCAATCAATTAATCTTAATTTTTTAAAAATTACTATGTTTATTTTGTATTAATATGCATAAATTAAAAATAATTTATTCATCTTTAGATATATAATTTATAATCTTAATATACTATCATTTGGTGTAGACATTTATTATATGAATCATAAAATATTTTTATTTCATAAAATTAAAAATATGTAAAGAAAATAAGAAAATTTCTTCGGATCAATCGGGTGATTGAACTAGGGTACTGCCCAGGTTGATTGAATTACTATTAGGTGATATTTAAAATAGTCAAAAAAACTTGACACAACTTGGTTGGTCCCAGGTGACTAAGTTATGTATTTGTTCGACCACACAAAATCGATTATTGAACCTAAATATAAATTTTATATTAAAAATATTTTATTACGTGAATGTGATGTAGTCCAAACTTCAAATAATCGTATTAACAATACTTTTATTACAACATGTTTAATGATTTATGAATATTTAGATATCATTTTATTAATATTTATGTGAATTAAATAACATTTTATTATAATATTTATCAATATACAGTAAATATAAGGTTTTCAGAACTGGACCGTCATCGAAACGATCAACTTATTTTATTAAATCACTTGTGGTTTGTTCATATTTTAATTTATAAACATTTTAATATATATATATAGTACTTTTTGTAATAAATTTAAATAAAATGTGTTACTTAGATATCTAAACAATTTATAAATTCAAATGTTTAAACTAATTGATAAATAATTTATAAATCTCTATTTTATTTAAATGTGTAATTTTATTTAAAATAATTTTAAATATAACAAAATTTATTTAAAAAATCGATCCTACCAGTCCATCCGACTGGTGTTGACGGATTCGAGAGCAAATATTTTATTCAAACGAACTAGACTGGTTATAAACTGGTTCTCGGTCCATTCGGTCGGACTGTGTCCAACCCGGTTTAATTTAAAAACAATGGATAAATCATAATTAATGTTATTTATATATTTAATTTATAATACAATCGTAATATTGTTTTCCCGTGCATCGCACGGGCCACGCACTACTGTGGTTTATATTAATTACTAGATTTTTTTCTTTTGGAAATAATTGGGTTTTCAATTTTTTAATGAAAATACAAACATTAAGTAAAAATGGCATGAAATTTATTAGGTGTTATTTTCGCTTTTTAATTTATTTTTTGTTTTTTATCCAGTTGTGTGTGCCCCGTGGCAGTGAGAGTGACACATCACACTGGAAAGGACCAAAATGGATCTGATTAGGCGTCACATCATGCCACATTTTATTCAAGGTGTGGATAAAAAATGACCAAATTTGATTAAATTGACAAATTATTAGACTTAGTTTGAAAGTGAACAATGACGGGTTGGATTTTTGGACATTGGCTAAATTAGAGGACCAATTTTGAAGTTTTGCCCTATCTATACTATAAATAATAAAAAAGGAGAAATGATTTTGTAAAAAATTGCACGAACTAAAAAGTTCTTATACTTGTATTATTTTTAATGGAAAAAATATAAAAGTATTAAGTATCTCAATGAATTATAATCACAATTAGATATCTCAATAAAATAGAATTTTAACAAAAACAAAAGTTTTTCAAAAATAAAACCTAAAAAAATAAATTTAACAACAACAACATACTCAGTATATTCCCAACAGGTTGGGGTCTGGGGGGTCAGTTGTACGCAGACCTTACCCTTGTAATTATACAAGGAGGTTGTTTCCGTAGCGACCCAAGGTCCATTGCGCCGTTTGATATATATATTTTTTTCTAGAAACTTCACTAATAGAAGAAGCACTAGAATTTAATTGAGTCATTTTGATCTAGTCCATTATTAGCACTATGCCAGGAGAATTGTCAACAATGACTCTACCAGCTCCATTTGCAATAGACAAACTAAAAAAAAAAAGGTAAAAAATTATTAACTTATCAACAAAGAAAAAAGTAATAAAGGAGATGCAAACTATTTCAATAAGATTGAATTGCACTAAAGTATAATCCTAAATAATATGTGAAACAAATAAAAGATTAGGGGAAGTACTATCATCAATTTCATAACATATTGCATTAAGTATAAGGTATTAAAATATAAATTTGTTACAATTCTGAAAATATATATGTATATATATGTGTGTGTTTTTATATTATTAATTACATAACTACATGTCATAATAAAGAAAGTTCGAAAAAATAGAATATCAAGTATGACAGAGGAGAGAGAAAAAGAATAATAAAGAAAAACTCATAATATAACATGAAAGTAAACAAGATGTGTATTTTGCACGGGAATT